AACTTGGACAATAAATGACTGTGGTTCGATATTTATTGTAGAAAATAATGTTCGAAGTTCCGTAGTATTCGAAATAATAGAAGAATCTATAAGAAATAATATTAAATTATTGATATTGTTTAATGTTTCTTTCTAAAGAGCATTTTATAAAATAATACCAATTATGGAAGTAACATAAGGTATTCTTTCATGTTCTGGTGCAAATCCAAAATAATTTTTCCAACTTCGTGACATAAGATTTTTTATATTTCTCGTTATTTGAATATTATAAGACTATCTAGCAAATTAAAAAATTAATACTACTACCACTATAGCAATATATATGTAAGATATAATATTTTAAAGTAAAAACTTGCTTGGTTTGGTGACAATTCATATGTGTTTATTTTAACTAATGAATCCAAAAACAATGAATTTTGACTTTCAAACAATTTAAGTCCATAAATATTATAAAGTTCTATAATTAAATTTAAATTAGTTTAATATAGACGTTATTTAAAAAGCAAAAAATCATATATAAATAACCTGAATCAATTGTGTGAATATCTATAGACATTAATGGATCGCTCGCATTGTATGTGACATCATCAATATAAATTGTAATTCCCATGTTTTTCAGGCCTTCATTAGAACTTGTTGAAAAGAATAAATCACCATCAGTTTTAAAATATCCATCATACTTTGATGTGGTGCTCAATACGGGCTGTCCTATGTATTGAACGCATGCTTTATTATCTTGACGTGTACTATTATCTTATTTATTCAAGAAAAGCTTTTAAGTAATTATACGGTCTAAGTACACGTAAACTACTGACTAGGATGGACTCGTACCCAAGTATTTACATTGACTAGATATGTACCTGGAGTATTTTTTGTATTTTTTTTTCATTTCGGTTTGCAAATTTTCTAAGTTATTTACCCCTATACAGCTTTTTTTGATCATGCTTTGTATATTACCATTGCATAAAAGGAACTTTCGCTTTCAAATATCCCCGGGTACAAATCATATGAGTCAGCAATTTACAGTAATTATACGATTTGAATAAATTATAGTTACCAGAATATGTGAAATAACAATTAAAATAAGATTTTTTTGGAATATTTGAAAACATTAACACTATAAATTTGTTACCAAATTCGTAAGCAAGGGCATTAACTTGGTAATCACTAAATCTTCATAACAAATCCTAGAATTTACCTGGAACGGGGAATGAACTTGCTTCAATAAAAGAGCTTTGAATAGCTGGCTGATCATTGTAAATATCCAAAATCAAAGATATAGAATATCCAACCAGAATAACTACAAATAGTGTCGTTACAATAATTCGTAACGAAAAGACAGACATAGGTTCACTCCTACGATCTTTCCGAAATATTTTTCTCAGTGCCATTCTTATGAAAGACATTCACATTCAGTTTAGATTATAGCTGTTGGAGGAGACACACTATTTTGTCCGATATATTAATTTTTTATTTCTCATGATCGGTGGTCCAAAATTAAGCAAATTTTTGTATCGCCATGCAGATGTTGTAATATATCTCCGTTAGGTTACCATCTCCTGCTTCATTATGAACACTTTTATCTTTTTTCCTTATTTGGAGGTAGTCTAAAACTATGCAGTTTTTTAATTTTATAAATTTGTAAAGTAAAATAACGGTACAGATGTAAATTACCCGACCTTAAGCGAGGTGTTAATTACATAATAACTATATGCATCCTAGCGGTGGGACTACGGGGTTAAAAATAATTGTCGTATTTAAAAATTATTAAGAATCAAAACTGTTTTTTAATGGATCATGGCATATGTCGTATTACATTTAATTTTTGGCCCCTAGTACTACTAGAGTTTTTGAATAGATATCTAAATAAGGTAATACTTCTTCTCCACTACTTGTATACCAAAACCTAAACCATTATTATTAATTTGGGTGATTTTGCAAATTTGAAATACAAAAATTTGTGCGTTTGAACCATTGTATTACTAACTTGCATTATAGCATTATGTCGTGCTATGAAATAATATTTTCTAAAAATGAATATTTATAAATGTTGTACGTCGGAATGGAATATTGTAGATTTGGAATCCACTTAGGTTGAAACGGAATTCCAAATGTAATCCAAGTCGATACGAAATTTAAAAGCAACTTACGTTGATTCTAAACTTGATGTTTAATAAATCACTAATAAATCAATAAACCATTAAATTTAATAGCAACTTAAGTTGATTTCAAATTCGATAATGTAATAAATGTATAACGATAGTTAAAGTAAATTACGTCTTATAAATAAATTGTCAAAAATATTTAAATAGAAATTTTTAGTCTCCGATGGCCAAACTTCAAGATTATCCTTATAGGCGACGTAAAACTTTTATTACGCGCAAAGATTTTGATTTTTGTATTAAAGTTTTAAAAGATCTAACAAATACAATAATTGGGAGTGCAAAGGATCATTACTGGGCAAAAAATACATTTGCTATACATGATCTTAGAACATCAGCAAACCTTATAATTTAATTTATTAAAATTGACTCAAATTGTCTGTGTGTGCTGTTGACAAGATATATGAAATATTGTGTAATTTGCACCAAAGGGTTTTGAAATTTATTGGCTTGTCAAAACTATGAGATGCAGTATGTTATTTTATAAAATTTTTATTTTACAATCATTATAAGGAATGATGATATTTAAATATTTTTAAAGTTTTGAAACAATATAGTTATATTTCACAGTCTTTTATAAAGAAGTCTATAAGGAATTATATAACATGTGCAATAAGAAGGAATTTCTAAATCCAGTGACTATAAAGTCAATAATCTCAAATTATTTTCTTAATAAAATTTCAGTAGATTTAATTTTTATGACTAGCATACCTAATAGTAACTATTGTTATATATATTAAATATATGATTATTTTATATAATATTCATGAGTTCAAGTTATAATAAGTAAATAATTAATTCAGATATAATTTTTCTTTGATGTTTTTGTTTCTTTGGTGTTTTGATTATTTTCAGACTAATAATAATTAAAAGTTTATTATAGAAGTAATCCTGATATTTATATTATTAATGATTATCCAAGACATTCTTAAAGTCAAGGATAAGTAAAATATAAATGATATTCTTTAACAAAAAGTATCTAAATAGATAAAGAATATACAAAAAAAAAAATTAGACTTATATTATATTATTGTATTGTTATACATGTTTTTATTTTTATAATTAGATCTATATATATTTATTTTTTTTTAATTATCATATTTGATTTTTTTATAGATGTTATAAATATTAAATATTACAACAAATAAAAAATAAACATGTAGGTTTAGGTCACAGATTATATATTGTTGTGCAACAAATCAGCAAGTCTGTTGCTAATTCTTTCCAATCCTCGTATAACCTATGGCAGCTAAGTCGAAATAGGCATGTTAAATTTGCAGGGTGGTTTATCCATAGGTAAGTACTTGTCTCTTCTCTTCTAAGTCTTTTTCTTTAACCTATCCTTCTTATTAACCTCTGCTTCCTCTTATCTTCTTCCTTTACTTTCTGTAACCTGGGGTTATAATACATTGAATCGGGTTGGAGTCCTTCTCTTCGTTTAACAGCTTGGTCACATGATCTGCAGTGAATAAACAAAAATGCAGTTTTAGTGATTTAATAATAGGTGATTGGTATTTGATTATGGTGTTTTTAACAATA